TGCTCTATCACTGTGGCTTATCTTAAAGCTGATTTGTCTTTATTTTTCCTGTCTCTTTTCCCTCTATCCTTCATAATCATGAAAAATATTAGATTAACCTTCTTCCTGTCTTTAGTCAGGGCTTAAGCCAGGTTATATATAATTTTCCTTCAGCAGAGCCACCATAGGAACCAAGAAATCCAGAGTTTACAGGTGGCACAAGAATTATTAAGAAATAATTCTCTCAAGACTATAAATGAATTATGAATCCTAACAGGGTACAGCTGGAGGGTAGTCTTAGGCTCCAATGACTTTCATAAATTCACCATTTTAAAGGACCTCTGTACACCTGACAATTAGAATCACAATTTCTAGACAGAAGTCCTGAATTTCTCTTTTGCTAGCAAAGCAATAAAATTTCCTTTTCCTATATCAAAACCTTGTTCTTATTATTGAATTGGGATTGAGAACAAACACCATGCTTTCAGTATCAAATCTGGTATGATGAAGAAAACTGAGAGTGCCCTGCTCCAGCCCTCTTGGCAGTTCTTGCACTCTGAGCAACCCCACTTCCACAATGATGAACTCACCGACAGCTGAGCCTGGGGACAGGTGAGTTGCCTCAGATTGTTCTGGAGGAGCTCTACTTGTAAGTAAAGGGAGGGTTTGAGGGACCTTCCTAGTAGTGGCTGCCAAGGCTCCTTGGCTTCTGGGACCTCCTGCCTTCTCTCACTAAATGGTGTAGGATTCTCCATCATGAGTCTACTCTGGGAAAAGGAAATTGAATACAGTGACGTGATAATGTGGACATCTGGTAACCTCCTACAGTATGCACACCAAAATTTTTTATTCCACATATCTGGCCCTCTACAGGGGAACGTCTGGTCCCTCTTTCTGAGGACATGTATGGCACCATTGTTGTCAGAGTTGTGGCTATATGGCAGTAGAGAACATAGGATATATTCCCCATCTGGTCTGTTTTAAAGGCTCCCTTCTGTTGGCCAAGGTTTAGGGGAATCCCCTCTGGTTGTCTCTGTGTTTTTGATTGAATGCTGCTGACCCTTTAAGACATGGGCAAGGCTACATTGGTCTCACTTGTAGATTCTTGGGAATAATTCTGGCTGAGAGTGCTACAAATTGTTATAATCTGCCTAGGAAAAACACTGATGTTTTACTATATAAAAAAAAGTCACTTATTGACTTTCTGAATTATTATATAATCTTGCTACTGGGATTAATCTCTCAGAGGTAGGTAAATGGAAGAAATTCTACATGTGCAGGTAATCATGAAGTTGCATGAGGAGTCTGACTGGTCCTGAAACTAAGTTGATGGTGTAAAAAAGACACTGTCTTTAGTGTGCAAGGATACGAAGACATCAGAAAACAAGTTTGCCCAGCATTGTTTCTCAGCCCAGTCCCA